CCCCAAAACCCCAAAACCCCAAAACCCCAAAACCCCACGATGGGGATATCAATAAATAGAGGAAGTAACAGAAATTTAATAAATTAATAAAATTATGTTGAATATTTATAAGAATTAAGTAAAATGATAGTTCCTGATTAATCTGTTATATAAATACTTAATCAAACTTAAAATAACTTACTCACAATATTTATATAAAATAACGAGGACACATGAAAAACTTTGAGATACAAGTAAGAGAAGCTCTTTGCATCGAAATAGACACTAACTAGTCATAAATATTCCAATACTCATCAACTACCACATGCGATTCAAAAAAGAAAGCATCAGATTTCCAATGCTATATTATCTCGATGAAATCATTTCTAGGTTTGTCATATCTTTCAATTCCCACGACATTCAAACTTGCAGGCATAGTAGGAGGTCCAATAATGCTAACAGTTGTGACTCTGATTAATTTTCTTACAATGAACCAATGCTTAGAAGTATCAGCGCAATTTCCAGGTGTTAAATCTTATTCTGAGCTTGGATTTAAAGTACTTGGAAAGTATGGGAAGAATTTCATTGATTTTACTGTCTGCATTACTCAGCTAGCGTGTTGTGTTGCCCACTAATTCTTTACGGCTAATTCATTGAATTTCATTATTTGCACTTATTCTAATCAGGTGCATTGCTATGGAGATAAGCTTTTCATGATTCTCATTACTATACCAGTTATTATATTCAGCTTCATAGGATCTTATAGAGAGCTAGCCAACCTTTCTATTCCAGCGCTATTTATTACCTTTTCTGCATTGATAACTCTGCATGTCTTATCTCTGCAGAAAATTGGAGAGACATATGACTAACCTAAAGATGACCTCATCTGGTTTAATTTATATGCAATGATGGGAAGAATTGGAACAGTTATGTACATGTTTACGAGTAATCCATCATTAATGAATATCCATAATGAAGCCAAAAATTATCATACATTTCCAAAAATTCTCAGAAACGTGGTGCTAGGTCTTTTAATACTATTTAATATATTTGGATTGCTTACTTATTTAGGATATCGCAATGAAACAGTGCCAGTATTCAAAATGAAAATTGGACCACAAGATCAAATAATATTATTTGTGATATTGGGATTTTGCTTTAATTCCCTGACATCTTACCCGATTTAAATACTCACTGCATTTTTAATAATAGAGCGGCTTGATGTTTACGATAAAACAAGAATAAATATACAAATCAAAAAATACCTAATCAGATCACTAATCATAGTTGCAGTAACTGGAGTATGCTTTATTGTGCCAAACTTTTCAGATTTCTTGAATATTTCAGGGTCATTAGGAGCAACTTTCTCATCATTTATTATTCCTTAGTTACTCTATATGAAAGTATTCAAAGACAGATTAACAATCTATCAAAAGATAGGTTGCTTTATGCTAATTGCTTTTGGTGTATTTGCCAGTGCATGTTCACTGACTTTTACGATAAATAGATTAATTAATGGAGAACAATGAAATAATGGAGAGTAAATTCTAAATGTTTATTAATGCTATTGTTTAATGTTAAGAAGGATAATATATTAAGCACTTTTGCTTAATTTAATCTGATTAACTATTGCCATTGTTTATTTGAACTTACGTCATAATTCCAATAATTAAATTACTCTTAAATCAATTATTCTTGATGAATCACGGGGTTTTGGGGTTTTGGGGTTTTGGGGTTTTGGGG